TAGTCGTAGTACTCGTAGTAGTACTAGTAATCGTACTAGGAGGAGGAGCAGGAGGAGGAGGAGCAGGAGGAGGAGGAGGAGGAGGAGGCTGTTATACAGAGGAGGACGAGGAGGGGGATTCGATGGCCAGGGGGGAATTCTGCATCACTTGACGCAGTCCTCCTGCCCACCCCCCGCGAGGCCGAAAGACGGCGAGGGGAGTGGGCAGGAGGACGCCAGCACGCCAGGGGGCCCTGGCGGGCCCTCTCTGCCGCGCGCCCCCGGCCGCCCACGCCGCCGCGCGGCTGACCGCCCCGAACCTCGGCCGCCGCCGCCGCCGACCGCCGCCCTGTCGCCGCGCAGCCGCGGCGGGCACGCGCGCGCGCTCGCGGCGCGCGCGGTGCGCGGCGCGGCGCCCTGGCGCGGCCGTAAGGAGGAGCGGAGGAGGAGGAGGAGGAGGAGGAGGAGGAGGAGGAGGAGGAGGAGGAGGAGGAAGGAGGAGGAAGGAGGAGGAGGAGGAGGAGGAGGAGGAAGGAGGAGGAGGAGGAGGGAGAGAGGAGAAGGGGAGGAGGAGGGAGAGGGAGGGGAGGCGGAGGAGGAGGAGAGGAGGAGGGAGGAGGGGAGGAGGAGGATGAGGAGGAAGGAGGAGGAGGAGGAGGAGGAGGAGGAGGAGGAGGAGGAGGAAGGAGGAGGAGGAGGAGGAGGAGGGGAGGAGAGGAGGACGAGGAGGAGGAGGAGGAGGAGGAGGAAGAGGGAGGAAGAGGACCGCCCGGCCCCATGGTGGCAGTGCGCCCGGGCGGCCCGCGGCCGCAGCGCCGCCGTGCGGGGTGGGGCGCCGGCGCCCCCGCCCGCCGCGGGTGGCGGCGCGGCGCCCGTGCCCGTGCCGGCGACCGTGGGCCAATGTCCCACCACCACTACCACAGGTAGGACGGGGGACAAGGGAGGATGGGGAGGTTCTTTTCTTCATGCCTCCTCCTCCTCCTCCTCCTCTCCCTCCTCCCTCCTCCTCCTCTCCCTTTCCTCCTCCTCCTCAGTCTATCCGTTCGCGCTCCTCCTCCTCCTCCTCCTCCTCCTCCTCCTCCTCCTCCTCCTCCTCCTCCTCCTCCTCCTCCCTTTGCTACCTGTGGTAGTGGTGGTGGATCATCGGCCCATCAGGCGGCGGTGGCCGCCGCGGCCTTCGGCGCGGCGCTCGCCCGCGACGCGAGGGATGCCGGCGGCCAGGACCGCGGTGCGCGCGCACACGGCCCAGACCGATCGAAGGAGGAAAAGGCAGAGCCCCGAATCATCCGGGGTAACTCGGGTCGGGGTTAACTCGGGTTCGTTTTTCGGGAATCCGAGCCCGAGTTACCCCGGACCCGAGTTACCCCGGATAAGTCGGGCGTCCAGAGCCCTACATCATCAGGTGTAACTCCGTTCAGGGCTAACTTGGGTTCTTTTTTTCAAGAATCCAAACCCGAGTTACCCCGGACCCGAGTTACCCCGGATAACTCGGGCGCCCAAAAAAGGCACCGATACCGCGACCCGTCGCCAGTGTCCTTTGGTCGGCTTTCCTGGGGGCTCTCGTTGCCACCGCTGGATTCGCCTCGAAGTCCTGGTCGAAGTCCGGGAGTAGCGGTAGTCGGTACCTTCCCAGACCAAGGCATCGTGTGCCCAGACATGCGACGTCCTGATTTTTTCAGGACGGCTTCCCTGGAAGTCCCGGCCTTTTCCCCAGAGCCCATTTTTCATTTTGAGTCGTTTTCTGACGGCCCCGAGGCCCGGCGAGGCCCCCCAGGGGCCGAACATATCGAAAACATTGCCGTCCTGATTCCTTTTACGACGCGATCATGTCATGTCTGGGTGTGGTTTCCCCAGGCCAAGGCATCGTGTGTGGGTGTGTGTGTTTGCGTGTGTGTGTGCATGAATGCATATATGTATGCATGTATGTATGCATGCATGCATGCATGTATGTATGTGTATATATGTATGTATGTATGTATGTATGTATGTATGTATGTATGTATGTATGTATGTATGTATGTATGTAGGTTTGTAGGTTTGTATGTATGTATGTATGTATGTATGTATGTATGTATGTATGTATGTATGCATGTGTATGTATGTATGTATGTATGTATGTATGTACGTATGTATGTATATATGTTTGTATGTTTGTTTGTTTGTATGTATGTATGTATGTATGTATGTATGTATTTGTGTGTATAGGTGTGTATGCATGTATGCTTGTACGTACGTGCATGTGTAAGCATGCAAGCATGTAAGTATGTACTCATGTATGTATGCGTGTATGTATGTCTGTATGTATGTATGGATGTATGTGTGTATGTGTGTATCTGTGTATGTATGTATGCACGTATGTATGTATGGGTGGATGAATGTATGAACACGTTTACGGTCAATGTGTGGGCGGAGGGGTAATGAGCGCACGTTGGCCACATCAGAATGCATGGCAGCCTTTGTGGATCAGGGCCTTGAGGGCCTGGGATGCTCCCTGCTTGCGCCACCGCACGCCTCGCCGCCCCGCGGGGCCAGCACCCTCGGATCTGCGGCTGGTGCACGGGGCGCCTCGCCGAGGGCGAGAGTCTGGCCCTCGCGGAGGGCGGCGCGCTCCTGGAGGTGTGCGAGTTGTGCTACCTCCTCGCGCTGGCGCGGCAGGGGGCGCGCGAGGCGCGGCTGGCACCGCAGGAGCGGGCGCTGCTCGTGGAGCAGGCGCGGCTGTTGGCGGCGCAGATCACGGCTCTGTCGACCTTGTCGCCCGATGCCGCCTAAGGCCAAGGCGAAGGCGAAGGCGAAGGCTCTTCCTGTGCTTCCCGCTGCCGCCCGCGGCCGAGGCGCTGGACATTGCGGAGGACGGCGCGGTCGCGGGCGCGCAGGCGCGGCTGCTGGAGCGGCAGGTGCGCCCGTCGGCCTCGGAGGCGGCCTCGCGCCCGCGGCTGGAGGTGCGGCTGGCGGAGGCGCTGGAGGCGGCGCGGCTGGTGCGCCGGTGGTGCCAGGGCTCGGCGGCTTCCCTGGCCTGCCTGGAGCCCTTGGCGCGGGCGCCGCAGGCGCGCCCCCCCCTGCCCTCGGGGCGCCTGGCGACGGCGATGGCGGCGGCGGCGGTGGCGGCGTCGGAGCGGCGCTGGTTGGCGCGCTGGCCGCTGCTGGCGCTGGCGGAGCTGGAGGCGCGGGCGCGCCGCCTGGAGCGGGGCCCGCAGGACCGGGCGCTGCCCTCGGCGTGTTGGGAGATGCGGTCGTCCCAGCTGCAGGGGTGCAGCTTGGCGGGCTCGTCGACGGGGCCTGGACGCAGGCAGCCGCCCTCGTCGGGGCCGACCGGCGCCAGGGCCTAGCCGTCGAGCTGCCGACCCACGACGCGGCGGGGGCGATCAGTGGGACCGCACTGTTCGAGATCGATGAGGTCGGCGTGCCTGGTGCTGGAGGCCAGTATCTGAGCGCGCAGTTCAGAGGCGCGTCCCTGCCTGCTGAGGCGATGCGCTTTGACGGCGCCTTCCCTCCGCGCGGCGGCGGTCCTGCTGGGCTGCTGCACCTCTGCGCGCAGGGGCCTGCGCGGTGTGGCGAGCCTGCGCAGGCGGGGCGCGCCGTCCTGCACGTGGAGTGGCTTCGGCTGCGCTCGACGCGCGGCCTGGTGGAGCCTTGGGCGCGGCCGAGCGCCTTCGGCGGCCGTGGTGGTGGAGCTGGTCGAGGCGGCCCCGCTCCCATCCCTGGCGGCCCCGCCGCCGACCGCCTGGCGGCCGCAGCAGCTGCCCGCGCGCTTGTTGTCGGAGGCGGTGGCGGCCGCGGCGTGGCTGGCCGCGGCAGGCGACGGGCTCGCAGCGAGTCTGGCAGCCGCAGCGACGGTGAAGGCGAGCCGCGTTTTCGAGATGCCCCCTCTCGCGGCGGCAGCGCACGGCTGCTGGCGGAGCGACAGCCTGGCGCGCTCTACGACGAGGCGATGCAGAACATCGCCCGCGTCATGGGCCTGCGGGAGGGGGCGGACGGTTCCGAGACGAGGCCGAAGGTGGTCGGCTACTTGCAGGCCATCGTGTTCGGCCACCACCCCGTGTCCCAGCTGCGGATCAACACGGTGCGCGAGCTCCAGACCTTGGCGACAGCGCTGGGCCAGTTGGAGAGCGGCGCTCTGCCGCAGTTGAGCGACGTGCTGATGCAGAGGTTCAAGGCGCTAGAGCTCTCTCTGTCGGACGCGGGCTGGCAGGTTGCGAGCGAGCTCGAGATTGTCCCAGACGTGAGGCCGTCGCCGGCGTCGATGGGCGAGCAGGATCTGGCGCGGCGCTCGGCGCTGCTGCGGAGGCGCTTGGAGGATGCCAAGAGCCGTGGAGCCTTCGGGGCGTTCGGCCGCGGCCGGGGGCGCGGGTGACCCGAGGGGGGGGCGCGGGAGGGCCAGCGGCCGCGCTCCCCCTCTCGACCCGCGCCTCAGCCAGCGCGGGAACTCTCGCGCGGGAAGGGCAAGGGTCGAGGCCGCGGACGGTTCCGCTACTTCCCGCTCCGGGGGGGCAGCCCCGCTCGCGCTCCAGGGTCGCCAGCCGCAGCGCCTCGGGCCGAGGAGGGGCCCGCCGCAGCGCCCTCAGGCCCCCGCGCGCGGACTCCGCCCCTCAGGCGGAGCGGGCCCCCCGAGGGGACAGCCCTCACCCGCGCCGAGTTGTGCTGGCGGGCAGCCCCGAGCGCCACACCTTCAGGCAGGACGAGCCAGCAGCGGCGGCGAGGGCGCCCCAGGGAGCAGGGCGCGGTCGCCCGAGACGCCGCGGCGGCAGGGGACGCAATGCAGGGAGAGCCAACGGCTCGCGGCCCCGCCCGGCGGCCGGCCGCAGGGCTGGCCCCCCGGCGGCGGCGCGGTGAGAGCGCACAGTGGCAATGCCCTTGTTGATGACGCCCGGGCTGCAGCGGCCGCTCCTTTGCAGGCTGCTGCGCCGCGCGGACCGCCTGGGGCCTCGCCGTCTCGTTCGCTACCTGACCACTGCGCTGCTGCCCCTCTGGGATCGCCCCCCCCCGCTGCTGATGATGATTTTTCTCGACACGATCCTCTGGAGGACTGGAGAGAACTTGCTGGTGCTGCTGGCGATTTGCTCCGCGAGCCCTATGACGTGGGCCCGATCTTGCTCGACCTCGTCAGGGACTTCCCCGGTTCGTTCGGTCGCTACGTCCGCGATTCCCTCAAACCTCAGCTGCGCGAGCATATGGCCACCATGGGAGGTCGGCTGCAACGTGACTTGCTGCCGTTACCGTACCCTACCATCGTGAAGACCGACGTCGTGCGCGACGGCGACGACCTTAGCGACCTGAACTGGGAGGCACTCCACTGCAGGCTGGTTGTCACGGTGCTGGCGCTCAACTGGGAGGCAGGCTTTCGCTCGCTGAAGTTCGCGCGCCATTGCCGCAGGCGCCCGAACGCTGCTCAGCGGGCAGCCTTGGCGGCCCTGGGCCGCCGCCTGTATCTGGCGACGCGCATCGAGACCAGCCTGCCTGCGGAGCTCAACTGGGAGGACCGCCTGAAGGACCGCAAGATCGGCTACGGTGGCGCCGAGATCACCGCGCCTTACAAGCTGACCCTGGAGCAGGTGCTGGACGGCTTACCGCCGCCTGGTGTTGCGGCCTCGATTGTGGCGGCCGGCGTCGCGACGGGCTTCGTGCGGGACGCGCTGCTGGATCCTGGGCTGGTGCTGCTGCCGCCTGCGCTGCGCCGCGCGGCGCCGACTTCGGCGCGGGTTTGGGCCTCGGAAGGCGAGTGGCATCGCATCGTTGAGGCCCTTCATGAGCGCGGGATGGTCGGCCCGATCTCCGCGCCTGACATCGCGTGCCGGGGTGGGTCGCCGCTGCTGAACGGAGCCCTTGGCGTTCCGAAGGCCCGCGACGCCCCTGTCAAGTGCCAGGGCGGGATGCTGAGGCCCGTGCTCAGGCTCATCACCAATCTGACCCCGTCGAACGCCTGCCTGGAAAGCATCGTTGGCGACGCGCCCGAGATGCCGACGATGAGCCAGCTGAACGGCCTGGTCTTGAAGGAGTCCGAGGACTTGCTGTGGAGCGGTGCCGACAGGAAGGCCTTCTTCTACGTCTTCCGTGCACCGCCGCCGCGGTGGCCGTACACGGTGATCGGGCCGCCCGTGCCGTCGCGCCTACTGGGCCTCAAGGACGGCGGCACTACCCACATCTGCCTGCGGGTAATCGGCATGGGCTGGATCAGCGCGGCGGGGGTCACGACTCACCTTCATCGCAACATGCTGCGCCGCAGCGGCGCGATGCCTCGCGGCCTGAGCCCCAGCTGCGAGATTACCCGGCGCCGCCGCCTGCCGCTTGGCGCAGAGAAGCCCTGCCCGCCTGCTTGGACGGTGTACATCGACAACTTAGAGATCGCCGAGATCGTCGACAAATCTGAGGCCGACAAGTTGCGCGGGACGGTCCCCGAGCTGCTGACTGACGCTCGAGTCTGCAACGAGGCAGCAGGGTCACCTGGCTCCCCGGGCAAGGACCTGCACCGCGTGGTGCGCGCCACCACTCTGGGCGAGCTTGTCGACGGTGTTGAGGGTGTCCGTCGGCCACCTGCAGGATACATTACTGAGATGGCCAGCCTCACGCTCTGGGTTCTGGGCAAGAGGTGGGCCAGCATGCGATTGATACGTATTCTTCTTGGGCGCTGGGTTCGCGTGCACTGCTTTCGCCGCCCGCTGGCGGCGAGCTCCGCTTACACCTGGAAGTGGCTCAACGACCCGCGCTGTGGAGGCCGCTTCATCGTGGGCGTGATCGAGGACTTGCTGATGCGCCTAGCCCTGTCAGGGCTCTGCGTGGCCGACATGAGGCTCGATGTCGATCACCTGGTGACGGCGTCGGACGCGTCGGAGGCCGCTGGAGCCGCGGTGTACAGCACGGGGCTTACCGAGCGCGGCCGCGTCGTTGCGGGCAGGCGCCAGCGGCCCGCTAACGCCGCCTGCGAGGAGGAGACCGCCCTGATCACCGTCTTTGATGGTATCGGTGGCGGACGCCGTGCCTTCGAGATACTGGGCCTGGTACCAGCGGTGCACCTGTCGTTCGAAGTGGACCCGCAGGCGGTTCGCGTCGCGCGGCGCGCTTACCCTGGCACGCAGCACCTCGGAGGTGTTACATCTGCTGGCCCTGCTGCCCTGGCTGGTCTGCCGCGGGCCCGTGGCCGCATCGCCCGCGTGGTGGTAATCGGCGGCTTCCCATGCCAGATCTACACGAGCTTGAACGTCGACCGCAAGGGCTCGTCGGACTCGCGCGCCTCGCTTGTCGATCACATGGTGAGGGCCATCCGAGGCCTGCGCGCGGCTATGCCCGAGGTGAGCGTTGACTTCCTTGGGGAAAATGTGGCATCAATGGCAGAGTCCGACGTCCCTCTCCCAGCGGGTTGTTCGAGCGGATTCCCGTGGAGGTTGAGGCTGGGGGCATTGGCTGGGTGAGGCGTCCTCGTCTCTACTGGCCGTCCTGGGACCTGCTGCCGTCGTGCGAGGCCAAGACCGTGATGGCACTGACCAAGGACGGCGCCTCTCGCCGCCTGTGCCGCGTGTCGCTGGAGGTGGAGCGCCCGCCGCTCGAGGAGTGGCTGCCGGCTGGCGCACGCTGCCCTGGAGCGGAGGGTGGCGAGCCCCTCCCTACGTTCGTCCGCTGGACGCCGCGCTCGCAGCCGCGCCCCAGGCCCGCGGGCATCGGGGAGTGCACGGCTGCTGAGCTGACGCGCTGGGAGGAGGCGGCCTTTGCGGCGCCGCCATGCTAGTTCCGTGACAGGTGGTGCGGCTGGGCTGCTGGTGGCGGTGCCGCCCTTCTCCGAGCTGCGGGAGAGCGCTCGGGCCTGGGCTGGTGTGCGGAGGCTGTGGGCTGGCGACGTCACCTCGCTGCGACGCAGCCGCGTGGAGGTCGACGCAGAGGTCCGCGGCGAGCTGATGGCCTGCAGCGCAGCCGCACCGTCCGAGCGGCAGCAGGCGGGCGAGGAACCCGCCGCAGCGGCGCCGGCGGCGGCCAAGAGGCTTGTCTACGTCGGCCGCTGCTCACGGCGCTGGGGCCTCGCCCCGTCGTGTTTCGGCAGCCCGTTCGCAATGGGCCCGAGCTGCTCCCGCGAGGACGCGGTGGCGCTGTTTGCTGGATGGCTGCGCAAGCAGCCCGAGCTGCTTCGCCGCCTGGAGGACCTGCGCGGTGCCAAGCTGGTCTGCCACTGCAGTCAGTCCGAAGCATGTCATGCAGATGTGCTGCTTGCAGAGCTGGCCAAACGCGATGCTACGTCCTGGCGTGATGCGGATGTCTCGCGTAGCCTGGCGATTGGCCTTGTGATGGCGTGCCACAGCAATGGTGCGGACCTTCGTGGTGACGGGAGCTCTGAGGAGCTCAGCAAAGTTTTCCCTCGGCAAGAGATTGATGCAGGTCTTTGGCAATGGCGTAAGGCACGACAGCTGGTGTGGGATGTTCCTGAACATATCAATGTACTGGAGTGCCAGGGCGCGCTGATGATGATTCGATGGCGAGCTCAATCGCAGGGCCGACAGCAGCGAGTCTTCTTGCACCTCCTCGACAGCATGGTCAACATCGGTGCGCTCTCCAAGCGCCGTTCAAGCAGCAGTCAGCTCAACAAGGTTGTGCGCAGCTTCTCGGCCTGGAAGCTGGCGATGGGCGCGCGCGCAGTATTCGGGTTGACCTCATCTGCTCGGAACCCCGCGGGCGCGCCGTCGCGCCTGAAGGAAGGGGAAGCATCTCAGCCCCGCCGACAGGCGCACGGCCAGAGCTGGCCATGGGAAGCTGCAAGATGCCCTGATCGGCGCTGCCGCTTTTGCTAGATTCCGTCGAGCAGCCAGCAGTTTGTCGGCCATCTGAACGCCATGAATCTGCCGTTGCCGTTCAATGCCATGAACCTTGCTGTGAGCCGAGGGTGCCACCAGGAGACAAGCTAACGTTACACTGAGTTTGGTGCAGCACCTGTTGAGGACGCGCCACCGTACTCTGGCGCGCATGATTTCAGCTCTAGCCTTGCGGCAGAGCATAATGTTGTTGCCATAGACAAGGACAGCCTGTCAAAAAGGGAGCACGTGAGACGATGACGCTAGATGACCCGCTTGAGGGAGAGGTCATCCGTTTGCAGCTGCAGCGTGACAGGCGTTCATGGTCCTGTCTCCTCGTGCCCTTCATTTCCTTGTTCGCACTGGCCTGCGAGAACCGGGTGCGCGCATCTCGGCCTAGTCTGTATATGCGCAGAGGCGGTGCTACGCATGAATACTTGCTGACAGGCGACTCGCCTTAAGCGTGCTCCGAGGCCATTGGAGCAAATAAAGACAGCAAGATTTACATTCAGGTGGGGCCACGATTTTTTGCCGACATGCGTTTTCTGCCGCCACCCGTTCCTCGCTCCAGTCCTTCTCAGGACCTTGATTGCCCGCGCTCGGGCATACTGTTGTAAGTAACCTCAACTCCAGGCCAGGTGCGACTCTGAATAATGTTGTGGGCGGCCTTCGGCCATATTTCGGGACATATTGGAGAGCTTTTGTGTGTTCTTGGAGTGGAGAGCTTCTTCCTCTCGGGCTTCTGGGCACAGCGTGGTGCGAGTCTGCTCCCCCTCGAGGCCCTCTTGGGACGGCGTTCTGACCCCGGTCGTTGCACGACGGTGGTACACTCGAGGTGTGAATTCTGCCGTGGCCTCGGGGTGAGCCCTGTGGCTCGCACATGCTGGTGCCGTTGTCTCGAGGCACTCGAAGCTCTGTCAACAGCTCTGGCCAACGAATAGAGGGAGTAAGAATGGCTTCCCCTTTATTCCCTATGAGCCACCGCTCTAACCCCCGCCTGCACACACATGAACACGTTTACGGTCAATGTGTGGGCGGAGGGGTAATGAGCGTACGTTGGCCGCATCAGAATGCATGGCAGCCTTTGTGGCCCGCCCGCAGTCCGCCCTGTGCCATGCCGTCCAGGCTCCTTTTGTGCCTGGCCGCTCTTGCCCGTTCAACGTCTCGCGAGAGCTTCGCTTCTTCTTCTCGGGCTTCTGGGCACAGCGTGGTGCGAGTCTGCTCCCCCTCGAAGCCCTCTTGGGACGGCGTTCTGACCCCGGTCGTTGCACGACGGTGGTACACTCGAGGTGTGAATTCTGCCGTGGCCTCGGGGTGAGCCCTGTGGCTCGCACGTGCTGGTGCCGTTGTCTCGAGGCACCCGAAGCTCTGTCAACAGCTCCGGCCAACGAATAGAGGGAGTAAGAATGGCTCCCCCTTTTTTCCTTATGAGCTACCGTTCTGACCCCCGCCTGCACACACATGTATGTATGTAGGTAGGTAGGTATGTATGTATGCGTGTATGTGTATGTATGTATGTATGCATGCATGCATGCATATATGTATGCGTGTACGTATGTATGTATGTGTGTTCGTATGTATGTGTGATTGTGTGTCTGTGTGCATGTATGTTTGTATGTATGTATGTAGGGATGCATGTATGTATGTGTGTATGTGTGTATGTATGCATGCATGCATGTATCTATGTGTATATGTACGTATGTATGTATGTACGTATGTATGCATGTATGTATGTATGTAGGTAGGTATGTAGTTAGGTATGTATGTATGTGCGTAATTATAGGTATGTGTGTCGGTGTGTATGTACGTACGCACTTATGTAAGTCTGTAAGCATGTTAGTATGAACGTATGTATGTATGCATGCATGCATGTATGCGTGCATGCATGTATGTATGTATGTATGTATGTGTGTATGTATATATGTGTATGTATGCATGTACGTATGTATATATGTATGTATGTGTGTATGTGCATTCACTTATGTATGTAAGTATGTTTGTTTGTATGTATGTATGTGTGTATGTGTGTATGTGTGTACGTATGCATGTATGTATGTATGTAAGTAAGTATGGGTGGATTGATGGTTGGATGACTGAATGTATGTATGTATGTATGTATGTATGCGTGTGTGTATGGATGCCTGCATGTATGCATGCATACGCGGAGCTGTCTCCCCAGACATGCGACGTCTTGATTTTTGTCAGGACGGCGTCCCCGAAGTCCAGATCCTTTCCCCAGGGCCGGCTTTTCATCCTGAGACGTTTTTGTTGACGCTCCTGGGGGCTGGCGAGGGCCCCCAGGGGCTGAAAATAGTGAAAAACTGGCCGTCCTGTCTTTTTACGACGCGATCATGTCTGGGGCTGTCTCGTCATTCCTGGCCCTTCGGGGCCCTTCAGGGGCTCGGGGGCTGGCAACAGGACTCGGGATGAGAAGCTGGCCCCCGAGATAGGTTGGAGACCTCTGGGGGTCCGAGTCTTGAACAAGCGTGGCGTCGGGAGTCTGGGACTACAGAGGAGGGCAGTCCACAAGAAACCTTCCACAAGAAACCCAACCCTGAAACCCCAGGACGTCCATTGATTTTTGGTGTGGGGTCGTCACGCTGTCCATAGCAGAACCATCGAAATCCAAGAAACCCAGGGCACCCTGGAGGCAAGCAGGGTGTTTCTTGGCATGGGTCTCCACTCTACGGTAGGTTCGTGTCGCGTCGACCCCAGCGTTGGTTCCTGACACCGCGGGGATCGTTGCAACAACCTTGAACGATCAGCCATGTTCGCGGCCATCATGGTTTTTGTTACGACGCTAGCATGTTTGGGTCCAGAGCCCTTGCACGGGATGTCTGGACATGGCCTTGGACGGAGTGGTTTCTCGGACGGCTTCGGAGTGGCCTCGGACATTTCTGGAATGGCCGCGGACACTCTTTGATATGTCGCGGATGGCTGGGCCCGGGGAGGCAGGGAAGGTCACCCAAAGATTCAGCATTCGAATGGGAGATCGACTACAAGCTTGATTTCCCCCCAGAAGAGTTCGTCGAATCTACAAGAACACACGTAGAATAGATCGTGGTGTTTCGCGGGACATCGACGTACTTTTCGTAGATTCATACCCCCCCAAATGGGGGGGGTAAATCAATTATGTAGTCGATCCCCTACTCCGCACAAATCCTTCGAAGCAATATCTCCGACGATCTATATTTTGGTTCCGGTCCCGGCGTCGTTTCCCCCGGGCGCTCGGCCCCCCTGCGGCCCGACAGGTCGGGCCCCGGCGCCCGCAGAAGGGCACCCTCCCGGGGCGGATCCGCTTCTCCCGGGGAGGGGGCTGGGACCCTTTGGGACCGCGCTTGGGGAAGATCGCACCGTGGGGTGTATGGGAAGCGGCGGCGCTTCTGGCGCCGCCCTTGGCGCGCTCCGCGCGCCAGGGAGGGGGGTACAACGCAGATGCAAGAAGTCCGCGCGGAGCGCCAACAGTTGATGTTTATGTTTTTCCCTTCTTCTACTAAGGCCAAAGAGGTGGTTCGTTCCTGGTTTAGCGCTCGTTCTTACGAGCGCTAGCACAAGGAGCAGAGCACCTTTGGTCCAGTCAAATTGCTACCATACACGGTAGCAGCTTGATTGTACCCCCCTTTGCCTCTTTCCTGTCGTGGGCTGAACATGTGTCCGTTTACACAGCCTCGCAGGGAGCGGGCCCTTGGGCCACAACCCAGCTATTGGGCGTTTCTGTACGCGGATGCCCCGTGCGGAACGTACCCAGGCGACCGAGTACCCATTGCATCGCGCCCCGGAATCCAGAC